TCGGGTGGATCCCTTCCTGTGCCATAGCCTTGTGTCTGTCCAGGTGGCAGTGCAGGTCATTAACTGCTTCCTTCTGGATTATGGGTGGTTTATTCTGCTCTCCATCCCTGTCTTCCAGCTCAGGGGGCTGAATACCTTGAGGACAACTGGTCTGACTATTGAAGACTGAGGCAAAGAAGGCATTAAGTTCCTCAGCCTTTTCCTCATCCTTGGTGGAAGTGTTTCCTGCCACATCCACTAAAGGATGGAGATTCTCCTTGGGTCTCTTGTTATTGTTACTTGTAAAAACATTCTCTGATATCTCTTACGACAGTGACCAGATTGTGTTCCAGCTGAGCTTTTGCTGTCCTAATTTTCTCTCTGCATGACCTAACAAGATCCCTGTACTTTTCTTGTGTTAAATCATGGAAAAATAATGTTTTCTTTAATTGTCAGCACTGTTAAAAAAATATTACTCTATATCCCATGTGTTTTGAAAGAACGTTTATTTTTTATGGCAAGCATACCGTTTTTTCTAAGTCACACTGAAAGTAGCCACCTTTTGCAGCTGGAGACTGTCCTACAGACGTGACAAGTGTTACAACAGGGAATTAAAAATACATATGCACACGTGCGGGTACCCACACAAGTATACATGCATGCACTTTTTCTGCTAGCAACCCATGGCTCAAACAGCATCTCCAACACTCTGTTAAATTAAAGAATTTGTTAAAGGTTGCTGAGAAGCCTGAACAGATGGAAAACAACTTTCATACAGAAATTATGATAAATATACTGTTATTTCCCTGTGGAAAGTCTTGGTCCTGTCCTTATTAGTAGTAAAGAATGTGTTGTTCGGCAGCATCACAAATAACACAGGCTATAACCCCCCAGATTGCTCAAGCAGATGCTCGGCTGTCAGCTTGAATAGCAGGCAGGAGACTGGGTCTCCTCTGACTCTGTTGGGCTGGGGTCCTCAGACAGAGATCTCACTTCTCTGCACCCGTTTCATACCCACCTAGTGGTCATTTAGAGTGATTCTATTAGGAGCTCTCGTGTACTCGTTGCTTCTGGGTAACTGATTTGACAACACACGCATGTACCTTCATATCTTCAAAAAAAATCAACTGTGTGTGCTTATCTTGCAGTTTTTTGAGTAACGGGGAAGTGGAGAGGCTAGCACTTAAGAGCTCTTTAAGATTAAAAGAGAATTCCTGAAGCTTTTGGGGGCTGGCATTCTGCAATGATATATGTTAATTCTTGGTGCCTGGCTACCCTAGAAAGGCAGGTGGAATGTCTAGGTATGCTGTAAATGTGACCTTCTCAGATCTTCCTGCTCATTCCTCTTCACCTGAGCTCTCAAATTCTTTTCAGAAGTCCTTTAAATGTCTCTGTATCACTGTGACTGGGAGAAGTGTAGTCCTCATGAAATAGTAAATCAGCTTTTGAGCATTGAACTGAAAAATCCTGCATTTATCTCCCTACTAATTTGTAGTGAAATCTTGGTTACTCAAAGAGAAGTAGTTTGCAAGTGATTTTGTGAGTTTGGCCTAGCTAGAAGTAGCTATGGTTTCTTCTACTGTGTCTCATGCTCTCTTCTGTGTTTCTCCAGCTGTGCATCCGTGCTCCCGTGACAATGGTGGGTGTTCGCACATCTGCATTGCTAAAGGGGATGGGACTCCAAGATGTTCATGCCCCGAGCACCTTGTGCTTCTACAGAATCTCTTAACGTGTGGAGGTGAGTTATGTTTAACAGTCCTGCTAAGCAGTTTACATCAAAGAAGAGTGGGATTGAGGTTGCATTCCAATCCAAAATACGGATTTTACTCAGTGTTTTCCTACATGTGGTGTGTTGCATCATGTATTAAATTGACCTTTGATTCTTCTACCAGCTGTATTCTGCTTCAGTTTTTGGACATATGTGACCCTTCATTGTGAGCAGAATATTCTTGCTTGACCTTAAAATACTTGCATCTTCTACTGAGATTTTTATAACTGTATGATGTGACAGTTTTGTGCTTTAAACAAGAGCTTACAAGATGATGTTGCATCAACCCATGATGACCTAGCAGCAGAGACTGTGCATGTGATTCCCACAGTGTGATACTCCAGTCTTTCAAATGAATTTGACCTCATAACATGAAGCACTGTACTGTCGAGTTATGAAATGTAGGCCAAAAGCTCCATTGCAATCCTTTTTAATGAAAGTAGCTCTCCTCTTTCCACGTGGTAGAAATTCCCTTTAGACTACCTTTCACAGTCCCAGGATTTTTGAAAATTGTTATGTTACCCTTGTAGAGGGGATTAAAAACAAAACAAAACCCCCCATTCTTTCTTTTTGCGAGGCATCATACCTTGAGTCATTTGACTCTATTGATTCTCTCGATTTCTTTTTATGTATTCATTTAGCTGTAGATTTCATTTTCTGGCTGAACTCTGACCTCCCATGGGACAATCATTTCCATTATAAACTGTTTTCTTTCCCATGACCACGACACGCTATGTGAATTTAGAGCAGTGTTGGTTACATCTGCGGGGGGGCCAGAAATCAATCTACTTATATTTCTTGCTGTATTGTTTTTGCACCACATGGCCAATGAGATATTCTTACATCCCACTTCTTTGTTATCTTCAGCTATAAATCTAAAAGTTAAGGGGCCTCCATTTCAGTGTCTGATTTTTTTTTTTATTCTAATCCATCACTAAGCCTACAACAACTTAACCTATCTTGTCTGCCATAGTAGCAGCCAATAGCTGAATACAGTGTTTGAGGTGCGCTCTCACCAGTGCCTGTCACTGAGGTGAAGGGCTCCAGAGCAGAGGGTCACGCGGGGGAACCCTTGCTGAAGTGACAAAAGCAGCTAAACCACGGAAAAGGTTCCATGTGAACATACGGAAAAACTTTTTTCCCTGTGAGGGTGCCAGAGCACTGAACAGGCTGCCCAGAGAGGTTGTGGAGTCTCCTTCTCTGGACACATTCAAAACCCGCCTGGACGTGTTCCTGTGTGACCTGGTCTGGGTGACCCTGCTCTGGCAGGGGGGTTGGACTGGATGAGCTTTCGAAGTCCCTTCCAACTCCTGAGATTCTGTGACTCTGTGTGAAGTACAGAGGGACCATCACCTCCTTAGTCCTGCTGGCCATGCTGTTCTGATACAAGGGCAGGAAGCCATTTGCCTTCATAGGCACATGCACATATTGCGGGCTTATATTCAATTGACTCCTGACTAAATACCGTGTACCCCCAGGTCCTTTTCTGCCTGGCAGCTCCAGCCACTCGTCCCCAAGCCTGCAGCACTGCATGGGGTTGTTGCGACTGAAGTGCAGGACCCAGCACTTGGCCTTGTTGAACGTTTTGGCTGCAGGTCATTGATCCAGCATATCTAGGTTGCTCTGTAGAGCCTTCCTACTCTCAGGTAGATGAAAATCAATATTAATAACAGTATTAATGTAAAGTATGCAAAGTTATACTCAGCCAGTGTAGTGGAGGAGTAGGTCTCAGAGGTAGGACAGCGGACCAGGCCCTCTTGAGATTTCAGCCATTGAAGAAGGAAGGCTGTCCCTAGCAAGCTCCTCAATTTATAGTAAGCATGACATTTATGTTATGGAATCATTTTAATTGGCCAGCCTGGGATCATCTTGGGGTCTGCTACTCTGGGTTTCAGCTTCCCCCAGCCTCTGCACCTGTTTATCTTAAAACTGCTAAAGACCTTGGTCATCACATAGCAGTGCTGGCTGAAAACCATAACAAAGTGTTTTATCAGTTTGTATCCGTGGGCAATTCCTGCAGAAATGCAGCTTTCCTGAACAGAAAACTGACTCCCAGTAAACCAGGACAGCTGGAGAACATTGTCCCTGTAGCCTTTTGAATGCTCCTGACAACTTTTTAGATGAAAGCTTGTGCCTGCCAAGTGCAACCATAATCCAAGATAAAATGTGGCTCTAATTGCAGAAGTAGTAATCTGTCTGTTGAGTTTTCTGAACAGCACACTCATGTCAAAATTTAATTCAAGAATTATAGGTCAGTGCCTATATTTTTAATTCTCATATTGCTACACGAAATAATGATAAATAAGAAACGTAAAAATCATAAAATTTTCAAAAACCAAATGCATTTGCACTTTTAAATTGTATTTCATTTTTCGAGCTCTTGATTATACTTGAGTCTCATTTGTGGAACGTTTGTCCTTAATGAAGGGAGGACAGCAGTACTTTAAAAATGGTTTGCACATAATTGCATAGCTCTAGGATCTGTAACACCACCCTCAGGGGAAAAATACTCATACAAGTCTTGTCATTGGTTACAACTGAGAAGCTTTCCTTATGCTGGGTTCTTTGTGAAGTTCATTCCCGAGCCTGGATGTTAATAAAAGCTCACTGGGTTTCCAGAGCAGTGTTACAATCCAGTTTCAGAGCACACCTCCAGCTTGCTCAATACTGTTGTCATAAACAGGCTATGATGTGGTACTTTCTTAATTCAAGTGGTAAAGCATCTTCTTAGAGCATTAATTGCCAACTGCAGATGTGGGGACTAGTGATTTAGCCTCTGATTTAACTGCGTCACAGGGATTTGACCCATTGACTCTGGAAATGAGTGGAAATGTTTTGTTTGCTGTACCAGGGTTTTGAGATGGCCCGCTCATTCTGAACATAACTAACTGCTACTGATAACAACTGAAGGGACTTAGATGTCTGTTTCTTTCATTGATACTAATGGTGAAAAAGTGTGTGCTAATTTGCTTTATGTAAGAATTAGAAGCATTTTTTGCAAAAGATTCTTGATCTGGATTGTCTTTGTCTTTTGACCTTCTGAAGAAAGCAACTATGAATGCCTTATTGCAGTATAATTGTTGCATCTCTATGTGAGGTTGTAACTGCTGCCTAATGGTATCAGCGTGTGATTACAACTTGAGCAACAGTGTGGATGTGGAATGGATTGATGCGGGGATCTTGGGTCTGTGAAAAGTCACATTTGGAAGAAGTCCCAGCTTTCTTAGGTCCAAGAAATATAAAAATGGCTGTGCACAACGTCCAGTGTTCTGTCTGTGACCATAGTGAAAGAATGCAAGACCAGGGAAGGCCTACAGTGCTCTCAGACTGCTCTCTGAACCTCCACTGACCTGCAGCCTGCAGGCTTTCCAGCAAGAGAACTTAGCTTAATGTTTAACAGGCCTTTACAGATACTTTTTCTACATTCATATTTTTAAATTTGTATCTGACTCAGAAATTTGTTTGTGGAGAAACCACTGGAAAAACAGAGAAACAGATATTGCAGAAGCAGGCATTATGTTTTAGGTGTATTCTTTGCCAATTAACCCAATGTGCCAGGTATTTATGAAGAGTGGTTCTAGGCTAATGTAATTGCAGGGATTAAAATTGTGTAGAGAGTGGTTTGCAATCAGAAATGTGAGTATTCATTTGACTTTATGTGTATGACTGCCTTCCGAAAGGTGGTTGTTAGAGCCAAAGTAAGTATTTGCAGTTCCTGTACTTAGATCAACTTCTTCAATCACCATGCATCCAGTTTTTGTTATGAAGTTGGCAAAATTTCATTCCCTGTGCAAAATCATGTTTTCCTCTTTGCTGGAATCTTAACATTGCTCCAGAAGAACTTCAGTCCAGACATGCGTGTTTTTCTGGAAAAAGCCCATCACATTTTTACTCGGTTGCAAGGGACAAAACTGAATATACAAATGTGATTTGTTTTCTCTTTCTCCAGAACCTCCAACTTGTTCCCCAGACCAGTTTACCTGTGCAACTGGAGAGATTGACTGTATCCCAATGGCATGGCGGTGTGATGGATTTCCTGAGTGTGATGACCAGAGTGATGAAGACAGTTGCCCCATATGCTCTGCATCCCAGTTCCAGTGTGAGAAAGGACAGTGCATCGATGCACACTTGCGGTGTAATGGAGAAATTGACTGCCAAGATAAATCTGATGAAGCGGATTGTGATAGTAAAATTAATTTTCCTGATCTCATGGTTCTAATATAAGCATTCATTTGGGATTCTAACTATTCTTTATACATATATATGTGTATATATATATATGTGTGTGTGTATATATATATGTCTGTGTGTGTATATGATTTTTAGTTTCAAATGGGGAAAAATGGCCTTAACCATAAGCCTAACTAAGCTATCCACTGATTCCGTTTTTCTTTCCCTCTTTCCTATTCTGTTGCTCAAATTAAACTTCTTGGTAGCTACATAAATGCTGGCCATGTATCTGTAGATATGCGAGAGGCTGGGGAGAGTATCTTTCATCCATATTCGGAATGAAAGTGGAAAGAAACTGGCAGAACTTATCACATGGGTTGGTTGGGGTTTTTTTCCTGTATAATTACGATTTTTACTTGTACTGTTTCCACGGTGTCCACTTCACCTTTGGATAGTTGCCACTTGAAGGTGCCACAGGGAGGAAGATACAGACTTAATTCTGTGGCTGAATTGGCTATTCTGAGAGTTCACTCAGCAAGCTGATGCTTATAATCCTGGATGTACCTTTCTGTGAGACACCTGTGGAACGATGTCCAAGGAACTCTTGCTGTTTCAGCTGCTTTGTATGCAGTCCACTGTAGGAGTTAGCTCCAAGAGAGAGGCATGGATGGGTGCATTGCATCAACCTTTGGAAAACTTGCATGTTCTGTGTCTAGTATCAAGGCATAGCTGAAAGAGTCACTTGACTATAAGAGTTGGCACCACGGCTTCTTATTGCTGTACAAAATTTCAGGAGCCTATTCAATAGCGTGGCTCATGCCCTGTGAAGCCTCAGGATGCTTGGCTTCTACCTGCTCAGTGGTAGTCAAACCATTGCCACTGGGCCAGCAAGGTGGATTTTTGTAGATGCTTCAATGAGCAATTTTGAGGGTTTGCAATGTCTACTGCAGCTCTGAGCCTGAACACCAGAACACCTTCTTTGTGAACAAGAAGCACATCATCCATGTGCAAGTTCCTGTCTTTCTTGAGAGAAGTGGTACTTACTACCTCTAGTGCTTCATCAAGAGGCTGTGCTTTGTCCACCATGGAGCCCATATGCAGTGTAACAGTGCCATTACCCACACACAGAGTCAAAGTGGAATGTGCATTTGGTCATCTTCCTGTGGAATGGTGGACACTGCTAAGCAAACTTAATGCCAGTGTTGCTGGCACCATATGAACTGGAGGTGCCTGCCTTGCCCTGCACAGCCCCTTTGAGGTGCTGGTCTAGAATAGTTGAAGATGCGTTTCTTCAGTGGTTGAATGCTCAGTGGTTGTGTGCCTAGTCCTTTGCAAGCACTTGGGTTACCTAAGATTAGGCTTTTGTCCAGAATGCTGTCTGACACTTCCCTAGAAGGGCTGTGAATATACTCAGTGTCCTGGGTTAGACTGAGGGAGATGTGGCAAACGTGGCTCTATAGTCTTCAGGAATCTTTACAGGCCAAGGCCTGAGTGGATTCCTAAGAAAAATAGAACTGATAGACCTTTCTCATCGCTTAGCATGTGTCAGCCTATAATCCACTGGGTTTGGGGAAGGGAAGGTGGCATATAGTACACTCCTGTCCTTTGTATGAGGTGTATTAAGGTGGTGAGGCGAACTGGCCTTAACAGAACTTTTCTACTAAATGCATCAGAGGAATTGCCTTCTGGTCACAGCAGTGATAATCACTACCTTTCCATAGGTTTGAGTTCAATGCCGTGATTATCAGAAGCCACTTCTCCTGCCCCCTGGTTTCCCAAGGCATGCTTTTGGAGAGTTGAATCTGAAGCATTGGCACAGGGGTTGCAGAATATGACTGGAAGTTGCCAAGGAAATGTTCCTGGATATGTTCATGGTTCTTGTCCCACATCTTCAGGACTGTGGCTTTCATCTTGAATTTATTGTGGCACTGCTGGCTGATCCTCTTCATACCCAGTGGAAGTCACAAGGTTACAGTCTCTTGATACTGCAACTGGATTACCATGCCACTGAAGAAACTTCATCTCCTGTACAACACGGGTTCAGTGCTCCAAGTTATCCATTGCTGGATCAAGAAGAAACAAGGAGTCCAACAAGACAGAACAGCAACAGGAGATACAGCATATGAGAAGGGAAAGGATATTAAGACTGAAGTCTTGATGGAAGACAAAGGAGCAGCAGACAGTTGCAAGAATAAGCAGAGGGCTGGCAGCCTCTAGCAAATAGGAAAATGCACACAGAACTTGGCCCTAGTTCATAATGCAAGAACCTAAGTGGGGTGGTGAGAGCTCTAGATACCTTTAGAGCCTTGTATCAACATATGTGTGTTTTGCATACCCTGTAAGACCTTGTAGAGGTGCTTCTGACTTACTGGGGGCATAACAGTCCAAATCAGGAGCTGATGCACTTGAAGCTCCTAGCTAAGTTTTTTTTTTCTCCATAGATAATTTAGTTCTTTTAAATGAGAACTGGTCTGCAAACTAGGCCATGGCAAAGTAAGTATGGCTATTCAGGAAGTCCGCTTCACAACACCACCAGTGCTGTGATACAAAACATGAATGTGGATATTCTCCTCCGGAAGAAATGAACCTTTCTCCTTTTTACACTGAATAACATGTACTGTGAACCTTCCAGGGTTGCTGGTTACCAGTCGTTGTAAGACAGTCTCTTTACTGATCCTTTAGTATCCTTTGAATTGACTGAGATTCCAGAGTTAATTAACAAGTCCTTTTTGCTGAAACAGAGTCCTCTAAACATAGATACGAAATTTAGGAGTTATTTAGCAAGGTTATATTATACAGGGCTACATAACATAGCGTAGACTATATGAGGTAGTTTAGGCCCAGTGCGCAACTGAGCGCCACAATCCCCACAAAAGGGGGCTAGACAAAATAAGGACTGAAAGGGCTTCTCACCACTTAACAGTCCCAGGCAAAAGGCAGACTCATCTTGGGGAGAAAAACAAAACAATTTTAATTTGTTATCAGTAACATCAGAGTAGAACAGTGAGAGATAAAACCAGGTCTTCAAGTCAAACACCTTCCCCCCTTCCCTCCCCTTCTTCCCAAGTTCAGCTTTGTTCCCGGTTTTTTTACCTCTCCCACTTTGCCCAGCAGTGCAGGGGGATAGGAATGGGACTTGCAGTCAGTTCATCCCATGCAGTCTCTGCCACTCCTTCCTCTTTCAGGGTTAGAGAGGGCTCCTCTCACTCTCCCTCTGCTTCCATGTGGTGGCCTTCTCACAGGAGGAAAAAGTCCTCCACAAAACTCCAACGTGAGTCTGCCCATGGTTGCAGTTCCCTCATGCACAAACTGCTTCAGCACTCACTGCCCATGGACTCACAGCCTCTTCAGGGACACCCACCTTCTCATGTGGATCTTCTCCACCAGTGGACCTCCGCAGGCTGCAGACGGGTCGACCTGCGCTCTTGCCACAGGTTGCAGAGGGAACCGTGGCTCCGCGCTCCTTCTTCTCCCATCTCTCCTTTCTTCCTTCACTGACCTTGGTGTCTGCACAGTTGGTCTCCTCACCCCTCTCTCCTTTCTCTGCTGCAGGTCCTTTCAGATGGTTCTGAAGGGTTCCCGGCTCTCTCTTTCGGGCTGCAGCTGCAGCAGGGCTTGAGCTTAAAGTTGGGGCTGAGCTGGCAGGGCCGGGACTGGGACAGCGATGCCCACATCTGCGGCCGCGCCGGTCAGGGCTGGTGCAAAAGAGAGAGAGTGCGCACGCTGCAGCCCCACTTAAATACATGAATTCACAGGGGTGCTGATTGGCTCGGCCCTGGTCAGAGGTGGGCCCAATATTTTAGAGCCAGGGGAGCTTTCTAGTAGCTTCTTACAGGGCTGTCTCCATAGCCCTCCCCTACTACCAAAACCAAACCAAAACCCCTCACAGAAAACCCAATATGCTATATAAGGTTTTATAACATACCAAGTTACTACGTTTTGTTAACACATCAGTGATCAGCTACACCTTGTGAGTTATTGTAAGACATTCTTGCTGATTCAATCCCAGTTTTGCCCCAGTGGGCCTGATTTGACAAAGGATGGGGAGTTACTGGGATCAAAATTTTGTTTTAGCCCCACTGAGTAGGATGTGTAACAAGAAGAAGGAAAAATAAGAGAAATGCAGACTTGCGTTTTACCCACAGCAGTGAAGCAGGTGTTCTGTGCCTATCTGGTCATAATATAAAATGCACTGTGGCTTCGTGTCTCACTTCTTTTGGTTTTCTTAAGATGCTCAAATGTCCCATGCAAGTAGTACTTAACTTTTTCTTTCTTTCTGTGCAGCAATTTGTCTACCCAATCAGTTCCGATGTGCAAGCGGCCAGTGCATCCTCCTGAAGCAACAGTGTGACTCCTTTCCAGATTGTATTGATGGTTCTGATGAGCTTATGTGTGGTGAGATGTCTTTTCTTGAGATTCAAGTGCTGTGCTCAGGTGTTAACGTCCTACGTCCCTGTGCAGAGCCCTAGTCTTTGCCATAGTAATATTCTTTCAGGGAAGCCCAGTGAATCTTTGCAAACTTGAAGCATGGTTTAGCAAGGTTGTAATGTTATTATTCCAGGTAATGCAAGAACAGGAGTAATGAAAATGAAATGAAATGCCAGTGTTACTTCAAACTAGTTCTAAAATGCTGTATGTGATGCAACGCTGCCTTGTTTAGATGGGCCTTCAGATTTGTACCCAGAAGGACATGATTCTGCTATGCTCAGTACCTTGGAACTGGCAGGGCTGCTGCTAAGCTCGGGATGGCTTTTAAAAATGCACAGCCCTACTCACTGCAATTACAGGGTCAAGCTGGAGGCTAATTATGTGGAGGAACTAGCATGCAATGAGCAAGTACCTACAAGAGGCCAAACGCTGCTCTCTTTAAGTGCAGGTAGGAGAAGAATATAAGGAGAGACCTTAATTAAGAGACCTTAACAGGGCAAAATGTTACTTTGAATTCTCATGGCAGGAGGTATATGCAAGTTACAGGCATGCTGATGGCAGTTGTATTAGTCATTAGTGAGGTCTGTTAGTTTGCGGTCCAACGTAGATAGTACATTCACTTGTGCTCTGCTTGTAATCTCCCTCTTTTAGCATCATCTGGGTCACTGGTGCATGTAGATTGCAGGCAGTGAGGCAGATAAAGGGAGCATTTAGTGACTCACTAGTGGTTTGGCAAAACAGGTGAAATGTAGCATTTTAGAACAAAAGCAAATAGATGTGCTGATCTGTCAGTAATTCATTCTGAACAAACACCTTGTGTTGCATGTGTGTAGAGAAATGCTGCACTTTGCTTAATAATGTTGCCTATAGGACCTTGGCTGATTGTAAAGTTTTTAATATCTTAGAGTCTTGTCAGGTTTTGAAGCACCAGTTGTCAGCAGCTGTGCCGCTTGCTGGGATGAAAGGAAGGGTCACCAGGTCTGATCAGGGTAACTGTTTCTTCCTTCCATCCTCATGATGGGTACAGCAAGGAAAAGTGCATTTCATGAGCAAGACTGGTGAAAGGAACCTAAATAGTGAATAGAAGAAAAAGCTAAAAGAATGCTACTTTCTAGATAAGGATTTTGCACTCAAAAGAAGCTAGGTGTAACCAAAATGAGAATTGTGTGTTTTAAAGCAGCTAATTTGGGAAGATGTTTTAATTTTGGCTTTGCTTTTTTCTGATGTCATATCTGAACTAATTGACTATTTGACAGTTAGGGCCTTAGCTGACATAAAAGCTGTTGTGTACTGGTAAGTGTGAAAAGTAGCTGGAGACTTTAGGACAGAAATTAATTCTTGATGCTGAGGTGTTAAGTGTTTATTGGTAGATCTTTGTATTTCCTTTATCTTCCTTCTCCAATTTTAGTTGTTTTTTATTCCCTTCCACTGAAGGGAATGAAACCAGAACCACTGGAGAAAAATGTTATGAAGTGAAGGCTTGAATCTTACTTTAACAATTTCACTTTTTACAACATCACTAAGGGGGTAAGGGGTCTGTAGTTTGATCTGAGCATGTAAAATTGATAGGCTTTAGCCAAGATTATTTTTATTTTTTTTCACTTTATGAATATATACATTTGTATATGTAAAAAAAAAAGTAAATGTGTGAATCACATAGAAAAAAGAGTTTTCACTGAAGAATATCACATAAGAAGGAGAAAGCATTTGAGATAGTCTGGACTGTGTTTTCTTCCAATTTGTAAGGTTGGGGTTTTTTTAGAAAGTAAGTCATATTTTAGGACAGAAATGTATTCTATTTTAAGGCCTATATTAGCTAGGAAGACATGCACTGTTTCATACACATGGTAGCTTCCCTACTGGTAAAATCTTTCATTTTTATTTTTTTTAATGCAATTGCTAGCCCAAATTGCTTTTGAGAGAGCAGATTCCTCTCTGATTAAGGACTTCATGCTTATAAGTGTCCTATATCCTTAACCTGTAGACTTTTGGGGGGGAGAAAAGGAAACTTTCTAGGCTGTTGTTATATCAAGATGATAAGTAATCCATTTACAAGTTGAACTGCTAGACAAAAAGGAGAGTACCTTGCTAATACTGCTTTATGTACGTGGAGGGGAAGAGGAGGCATGAAGACTTGTGCATTGAATCAGAATATATGGAGTTATACCTGCCTGAGTTTGATGCAGATACTTTGAAAGACACTGTGGAATGACTGTGAGCTGCGTGAGCTCCAGGACAGCAACATGTATATTGCCCCATGTTTAATGACCTTGTTTTTCCTCCTCTCTTTCCAGAAAAAGCAAAGCCAGCCTCAGATGAGTCACAGCCACACAGTAGTGCCATTGGTCCTGTCATTGGTATAATACTGTCGCTTTTTGTCATGGGAGGAATGTACTTTGTTTGCCAGCGAGTGGTGTGTCAGCGCTATGCTGGGCCCAATAGTCCTTTTCCGCACGAGTACGTCAGTGGCACCCCTCACGTCCCTCTTAATTTTATTGCTCCAGGAAGTTCTCAGCATGGCACCTTTACTGGTAAGGATGGTAAGGACCTTCCGTCTAATCAGTACCATTGGATTGTTTGGATTTAGAGTTTTACAGGTTATTAAGAGTATGGAGTTTTCAAAGAGCAGAAATTAGATGTTGTTGATCTGGTCAGTGGGTCTGGTATAAATCTGTCATTTGGATCAGATAAGCAAAAACTGTTAGATGCATTTCATTAGGCATCTTGCCAGTTTTCAAATGCAGTTTTCATGCTATGCTGCATCTGCACAGGTATTCTATCTTTTTGATAGAAAACCTACACTATTTTGCCAGTGAAAACATCCTCTTTAAACAGTTCATTCTGATGTATGTAATGAAGCCTGAGTTTTGCAAAGTACTTCTTACTTGGGGCCAGCAGAACACTATGGAGAGTAGTGAACCACATGCAGTACTGGAAACTAAGAACACGTGCCATTGAACATTCTAGTGAGAGCTCTATTGCGTTGTTCTTTGTGTCTTGTACTCAGATGTCCTTGTTTCTAAGCTGTCCATCAGAGGTCTTTACACGGTTTTGTCCTGTCTGCTCAGGATGGCTAAGTTGTTCCACAGTGGAAAGAAGCAGAGGAAAGAAGTGAAGCAGCTTAGCCTACCATAGTACACAAAAGCAGGGGTTAAACCTCCCTCCCCAGAGTTACAGCAGCAAATGTGGAAGAACACAAGCAGTCTGGGTATGGTTTTGTAGCCTGGCTGCTGCTCACTGCCTGAAGTGTAATGAAAACATCCCATTTGTTTTAGCCCATCTCAGAGACAGCTTTTCTGGTTGCTTTTGGACATAGTATTTGTTCTCTCTGTGTCTCAGTTCTTCATCTGTAAAACAGCAAATCTTATCTACCTTGAAAAGGACTCAAAGCATCCACTCAGAGAAATCCATGCAGCTATGATGCTGAGATTGAAGTAGGACCTGAAGATACTCAGCTAATAGATTAAAAACCCAGAAACCTTATATAGACATCAAAGTAAACACTTACATGATGTCCTTCAAATTATTTTACAAAGGTGAAATATGCTTCCCATAGAGGACATAGCAAATTCTTAACTACAAAGTCCTGAGAAGAAAGACTATATCTTCATATTGTTCAGGAAGCTGGAAAGTAAATGTTTGCCTGTAAACCTCCCAGAGCCAGAATACAAGAAATCCATACTTTGGAGTGCTTGGAGTCCGCTTTTCCTGTCAGCTGAAAAATAGATGATAAAATTAAATTAAAAGATGTGGCACTTCTTCATATCAAACAAGGTTTTGTGATGTGCCAATTGTTTTCTTCTAGCCGTGGCTTTGAAGATAGCCTGACACAACTTAGGTTTAGCCCTTCTCACACTTCTATGACTGTGGTCAGCTGTCCCTGCTTAAATTGTGATTATCAAGGTGTTTTTGTGATAGGAAATAAAAATTGAGGGTGAAATCATTGCAGATGAAATCTTTGCAGTGTTTTTTTGAATCTGACTTCACACTAAAGCCTTTTTAATTCAAGCAAGTACTGGCATTTTTTGCCTGTACCTCTGTAGGTGCGGAACTAAACTGTCATTCTGATTCTCATTTTTATTTGTGAGGTTTTTCTAATCCGTATTGCTGTGACAAGTTAAAACAGCTGAAAATACTAGCGTTGATGTTAATTCTGAAGAAAAGACAAGTTCCTAATACCATGGCATTTCCAAAAAGGAGGAATAGTCATGAATCATGATCACAAATAGAGTCCCTCTGCTAGTAATAGATATTTCCTGCATCTGAAAAATGTCTGAAAACTTCCCAAAGTGAACTCCCCTGGTAGCACTGAATGGTGTAACAGGAAAGCTGAAAATGTATTGTCTGATTTAAACGCTGGTAGGAGTAAACCAGGTTGGAGAATGTTGTCTTCCCTTTTCCTGACCCAGGTTTCCTTCCTTTTGTCTCTGCTAATTTTCAGTTTAAGCAGTGATTTTTTTTTTCAATAAAAATATTTTTTTTTCTGTTCTTCATGTATTTGCAATTGAATTTCTTTGGATGGAAATGAAAACTTTGGAGATCTCTTGTTTTTCTTGAGCAATATATAATGCTTTTTTACAAATGCCTGAGCTTGTTTAGTTGGAATATTTCTTGGTTAACTATTTGGGTGAAAAGTTTGGAACAACTGTTGCAGAGGTTTCTTTCTCAGCAGAGTGTGAGAGTAAGTTGTGAGGAGGTCAGTGCTGCAGTGAGACAGTAGGTGGTCTGGGGGTGAGATGTTTTCTTTACAAAATACGTTGTTCCTTGTAATCCTGAAGTTTTTACATAAAACAGTGTTCCCAAAGTAACAACCAGTAGCATTGCACGGGTTTGCCAAGCTGTGGATTTGTTTTCTGTTTTGCACTGGTAGATAAAATTGTGGTTTACCTAACCTTGTTTTCCTCTCTGTGTCACTGCAGGCATCTCTTGTGGAAAGTCCATGATTAGCTCCATGAGTCTCATGGGAGGAAGCAGTGGTGCCCCCTTATATGACAGAAATCACGTTACTGGAGCCTCTTCGAGTAGCTCATCGAGCACTAAAGCCACTTTCTACCCACGGGTATGTCTTGAAAATATACCTGAGGGTTAGGTATCCCCCACTTCTGAAGACAAGAAAGATGAAAATCGGTGCTACTAAACAGAACGTTAATCACAGTGGTGCTTGGGTGTTCCTGTTTACGATATACAGGCCCAGTCCAGCACACACTGATCTTCACAGGAAGGCTTTGTGGTAGTCCATCAGGATTACACAATGCTATATGGTGTCTGAAATGCTTTGTTATTAGAGTGATACTCAGCTGGGTTGTTCCTGGGCACTGCTATTATTCTGTCTTGACTCCTTTGGAGACGCCACCTCCTTTGTAAAACTCTGATGCAGTGGCCCAATTACATTTTGCCCTGTCCTAAACCATGACAACTCTTGTTCACGCAAGCTTGCGGAGTCAATGTGCTAGCTACCGAGGTGATTTTTCAATAGCATTCAGTCAGGAGACCACATACCACATGGGTATGTGTAATCTGTTACACTATATATGGGCATTTTGGTTGATGGTGTTTTGACCTGTGGCAAATGTGCTCTCTCTCCCCTTTGAAAATGACAAATGTGGAAAAGTGATGCTTGCGAGCTTATCTGTTGATAAGGTAGAATCGGTTACTTGTTCCTCACATTACCTTCTCAATGAAACCATGCAAGTCACAGCTAACAGATGCCTGGAACTCAGCAGCCCTTCTAATTTAGCTTGTCTCGTGCTTCACCAATGTCTCTGTAACATGCTGAACAAAGTCACACTAGTACCTGATTGTTTTGTCACTGCCACAGACACTGACAGCGTCCTAAGAAGGATGAATAGAAAAAACTTAGCTGAATTTATATAAAAAGCCCTTACTTGAATAAATCTTGAAAGAGGAAAGAAGCCCAAGAGTTGCTCGGCCTGTGAGAATTCCCTGTGAGAACTCTGAGGGCCTGCAGTGCAGTGTAAGCCCAGCGTAAAGTCTCATAATGAACTTCTGTGATATTTAAAAATGCATTAACCCACCCAAGCAGCAAGGAGAGAAAACTAAAATAGGGATGAGTGACAGAATGAAGGCATAAATAATAACTTCAGAATATGTAGAGATTTACAATTAACCCGAACTTTCACACCGGTTTTTCCTATTCTTCCTAGATCTTGAACCCACCTCCTTCCCCAGCTACTGACCGCTCCCTGTATAATGCAGAGATGTTTTACTCTTCAAACATTCCTTCAACCACGAGATCTTACAGGTACAGCTCAGATAGTTTTGATAAATCTTCTGTTGATCTGTCCTTCGGTTTTGGATCTTAAGCAAAATGTTCTTGTTCGTATTTTACCTTGTTTAAATAAACCCCTTCTCTCTCTTAATAAGTGACCATTCAAATGGACATTATGCCAGGTTTTATGTTAAACATTGGCTTTGTGTTCTTATTTTGACACAACAAGATTTAATGCCTTTCAGTGCTGCTGAGAAATAATGCAATATATAGGCTATATTGCTACTTAGCATCCTGTATAGAGAAGGTTGGCATTTTCTGTTCTGTTCCTCAAGCTTATCTTAAAAATATTTGACCAGTCAACCTGTTTGTAAGTGGCTGGGCTAAATGGCCATGGTGTTCTCTGGCTGTCAGGTGCTGGAAGAATGCACTGCTCACTGAGGGTAGTTGTGCCATTCAAACTGAACACAGTTCAGGTACTTCTTGCTGCTTCCTATGAAAACCCGAATAAGGCTTACATAGTGTTCATAAGCAAGTATCTTGTCTGAGGACACAGCACTGTTAATTTTCAATTTCTCTGTTTCTTTCTTTTGTCCCCAGATTGCAAGTAATGCTTGTGTGTTTTTGTGGTTTGTTTTTTGCAGGCCATACCTTATACGAGGGATAGCTCCACCCACAACCCCATGCAGCACAGATGTCTGTGACAGTGACTATACGACTAGTCGATGGAAAGCCAACAAATACTATATAGATTTAAATTCAGACTCGGACCCTTATCCCCCTCCGCCCACACCTCGCAGTCAGTACATGTCAGCAGAAGAAAGTTGCCCTCCGTCTCCTGCCACAGAACGAAGCTATTTTCACCTCTATCCCCCTCCACCCTCTCCTTGTACAGACTCCTCATGACCTCAACAAAGGGAACTTTTCCTGTAAATATTTTAAAATATGAACAGATTTAAAATATATATTTTATGATTTAAAAAATAAATTGGGGTGGGGATGAAAAAAAAAGAAATGTGAATAAAAATGGGTGGGAGGGATGGGGCTATGAAAAATTGTACAGAGGAAGAATATTTATAAAATTGATTATTTTTAACTTAATTTCCATTCTTTTGTGCCATATTTGCCTTTTGGAAGTCATGAAAATGACTCAAATCTCCAAAGGTTTTGGGGAGGGAGTGTTGAGCCTTTGTGCATTTTTTAAGTCACCTTTTTACCTGCAAAGTGTATGTAATTCTTTTTTATTAATGTGAGACAAGAAAGCAAAGGGGCTTGTGGGAGGAGGAGGCTAAAGAAAGATGCAAGTTTATTTGCAGAGAAGAAAACCACGTTTAAATAAAATTGTCAGTACCTCATCCCTTTTCTACCACTGGGAGAAGACCTGCAACGATCACAGCCCTCAGATGTTTCTGTTTGCAAGTGAGCCGAATGCTTCCCAGCAGATCTGGATTTCAAACGTCCCTCTCCATTGCTCAGCACTGAACTGGAAGAACGCTTCTCTTGGCCAGACGCTCCAGCGCACCGGGCCCATGGGCATCATGCCCTACCTCAGTGCCACTCTGCACATCACCTTTCTGGGACTGATTCAAGCTGAAAAAGATAACCGGCCCTAAAAAACCTTCGCTTGGTTTAGCTCCAAGCAGTTCCCCACTTGACTGGGTGAATGGTAGCAGAAGCAGTTGTATTGACCTGTGGGTGAGAGCAAGGGGCAAGTTTAAAAGGGTATTTAAGCTGAGAGAAATGCTTGACAAACTACAGATTTGGTCAGACTCACCATTTTAATTATGAAACCAAGCACCTTCATCCTTCCTTGTGAGGCTTTGCTGGCTGTCTGGGAAGAGGCTTTAATGGTCAGCTGCTTCGCAAAATACAGTGCTAGTTCTCTTTTTCCCAAAAGCCCAGTAATTCACTGTGCCAGGTCTCTGAGATGTTCACCTGTGTTGACTTTATCAGAGAATTGCTTTGTCTGTAATGTTCATTTTCCAAAGTGGAATGATAGTGTATTCATTTAAATAAGGAAAGTTGTTTGGTTTTTAATTGGTTTGTAGAAAATGTTATCTGCATAGATTGCAGATTGCATCAGAACAAAACCGTCTGCCAGTTTAGTCATATCTCATAAAAATTTGCCACAAAATTAGTTCAGGTTTAAAAACAGAAAAAGCACAGGGAGGAAGAGGAGGAGACAAATACTTCTAATTGTGTTGAAGTAAAGATAAACTCTCATACAAGCTGCTGTAACCTAAGGACATCATTATCAGCAAAGTGCTCGTGTTCCCTGCTTCTACCAAAAAAATCCCTTTGGGAATTTGGGGCTAGGATCAGTCCCTTTCCAAATGCAGAAGATCAATGTTTGCTTTGGTTGCTCTCTTGCTATAACAAGAGGCACTGTGTGGCACTCAGCTGTGGTGATGATATTGTGAGTGCCTACTTGGGACTTCTGAGGGAAGTTCTGAATGTGCAGACTCACCTCTTTCTGCAGCTACTACATAATGTGTTGGGCTTTTGACAGCCTTAATATTGTTGGCAACAGTGAAAACATTTTTCTTGTTTGGACTTAAATTGTACTTGGTTTTGGGTCGTTTTAGCAAGTTCTTTCACAGCTCATCAGAGGAACCCTGCAGCTCTGGGACAGAGGTCTTTGTTGTGGCGCTGGAGGGGCTGGGACCACAGTGTTCTGATCCAGTTTGTGTTTTGAGATTTACTAGTCCAGATCTGTTCTTCCTGTCTACATTGTTCAAGGATAGGATCTGTGCTGTCACTGCTGCGTTACTCTTAAAGTCGCTTTTTCTACCTTCATGTCTAAATTTTCGCTTGAGCGATTGAGCACAAAGAAGATGCCCACCATTTTTCATGGAGAAAAATACAGAATTGGAGAATACAGCATTGGAGTTTAGGAATGGGTCCTTTCCCCATCCCCTGTGAACATTAGTAACTGTAGTATGCCAAGAGGGAAAAAGCCCTAAGTTTGTTACTCTTAGGAGTGACTTGGCAGATCTCTGAACAAATGTTAATGATTTGGTGAAACAAAGCAATTCTCACGTGATCGTGTTTCAGTGAACTAAATTAGGAATACAGATCCACACAGAATATTTTATGTACCACGCGGTTTATATAAAGGAGTACTTGTTCTGCATTACAGCAGTTGGTAGTCCAACTTCATATCATGTGTAAGTTTGTGTGTGATAACTATTCACTATTTATAATGAATTCATTAGCTTAGTTGTTTCGTGTTACAGTTCTAGCTTAGAGACATACTACATAAATTTTCCATACTCTTGTGATGACACTGGATGCAAAATTACATTGGTTCTTTTTTCAATTAAATTGCTGATCTTTTTAGAGAGTCACAACTGTATCAGTCCCAACCATGACATCTGAAGACTTGTATCTTACTACAAAGTTTGGAGTTGAGTCAAAGAAAATTAGCATTCGTGCCGAGAGCTCAATTGTCTTAAGAGTCAAATTCTTTTGGAGCTTAGGTATTCAGAAGGAAGAAAGCACTCGCTGAATGGGGTGAACTAAGTGTACATTTTTACTTCAGTTGGACATTCATAGCCTCTTGCTGCTGATGTTTGCTGAGAAAATTGCCTCTATTGAGGCATTTGAAGTTCAGTGATCAGAATCTAAGCTCCACACTGCTCCTAGCAGACTGACTTTTAAAACCTCTTCTAAAAAAACCTGTATACAAATGTAGCATCTTAACATTTAAACACTAAATATTAATTTTGATTGCTGTAGACTATATACTTTAATATACTATTACTGCAATCCTGGTGCTAGAAAAGACCAGAAAGAAAATTTGAGTGTCAGGAGCTACTTCTTTCCAGAAATAGCCTCAGTGTGCTCTTAGTGGTTTCCATCCCGTGAACTTAGAGGCTAAAATGTAGAAAATGGGAAAGAGAAAGAGTTGCAAGCAATTAGTGAATGCATGTGACAAGTTGTGGCAGTTCAGGACTGCATAGGAAATAAGTGGGGGGAAGTTGTATTTTGGTCAGGATTAGGAATAGTTTTAATAGTGCAAAAATTTTCTATGAGGAAGCCGACTGAAGTACTGTAAGAGTTCTCCCCTGAGAACCTGCAGGGGGATGCATGCGATTGGAGTACCTGTGTGAGCTTGGGAGTACTTGAATCGGTATTTTCAACCACTAAACCCATTACAACTGCAGATTGGCACTTGAGACAGCTCAAGGTGTATAGAACTGTGTCTGGAGAGCAGCTAGTGATGGGAAAATTATATAGCTGATTCTGTGTTACACTTAGGGGATAGATGTCCTAGCAGAGAACAGCTTACCTGCCTTCCAGTGCGGTCATGAAAGCAGCTACTCAGAACTGGTCCTGTCTGCAGGACGGATGTAGCAGCAGTGTGAAGCTGTGAGGTAAACGGAAAAGTCATGATGTTCAACTGTTCATGATGTTCTTTAATTTCAAGTGAAAGCTTTGTGTAAATCATAGCTTGGCGTTACTTCAGCTAGACTGGTCAACAGCCACTGCGCCCTGAAATTTGCCATGGAGGTCATTAATTTTTTCGTTACTGCTGGATGGTTTTGAGGAAACTTCATTAGTGCTGTCCCAGCTGTTTTACTGGTTCAGTTTTCTTCTGTCCGGATAGATCTCTAAAGAGCACTTAAGCAAAAATTAAACTAAGTCTGTATGTATGGCAAACAATGTTTTCATTAGGATAGTGTCATAGTAAAAAATGCCCCATTTCTAAAAATGAAACTGTGCCATTATCAGCACGTTCTAAAGACGAAGGTGGAAATGAGCGCAAACAAGTTTCTTCTTTTGGAATAATGGCTTTGATTTTCAGTAATAAACCTCTGGTTCGCACAAGGTGCAACCACTTCCACTTCCATAAAGGTTCTGATTCTTTTCAAAGTAACAGCAAAATGGTCTCTCCCCTCGATGCCTGTTCTCCCCATTTTTATGCCACCTAGCATCTCTTGGGTTCTGGGGCTTCTGGAATTCTGAAGCTCTGTGCACAGTGGTGAGAAAGAACTCGAAAGCAGGAGCACCCAGTAAGGGCTGGTCACACTGGGCTGGTGTGCCCGGCACAAGGACGTTCTCCCATTGCCTGCAGGGGGTCAGGGAAAGCTCCCTTCATCAGAGCCTCTGGAGCACACTGTACTACTTCACACGTGTTTTCAGTCAAACTTCACAGAAGCTGTGTGTCATGTTTGCTTCATGCATTTTCAGAAGCAGATCTTTTCTGATGACAGTCATTTTTCTGTTGAGTTAGTCCTAATGAGTAGCTGTGCTTATAATTGTGATATCCATTAATGTCAGGAAATGAGAACAGTAGGCAAGCATGTTTGCAATGATTGATAATACAAGAGTGCCTGGCATGGAGCATCGAATTAGAAGGAGCATGTTTTACAGTGCTGAAGGACATTTTATAAATGTCCATGTTTGGACAGAGCCTTCAACAAGCCACAGGAAAAGATGGCAGTTGTTTACAGACCAGTTATTCAGCTGTTTCTGTGTTTTACTGTGACTCCCGTTATGAATTATGAGTGCAGTCCTCACTGTAAATTTGGCTTCTCTGTGGAAGATGCACAGAAGGCTGAATCCTAAATTCTGAGAGGTGTCTGCTGGTTCTGCTGATATTCCCTTAGGTATTGCAACACTTCCTGTTCATCACTAAATGTAAAAACCCCTTTCTTCAGCTATTGTAAGTTTAGTTAAACAGCTTAAGGTGTTTGCCACATGTTAAAAGAAATACTAATACACATAGATATTTTCAGTTCTGTCATGTCTTCTAGCTCTCCTTCCTGAGAACGTTTACTCTTGTTTTTGTAAAGGGTACTTGTCTTTCATTTGTTTGTTTTGAGGTTGGCCAACTATGCTGTGGGCCTTTTCTCATAAGATCGTATACCCTGGAGGGAAAAAAAGGAAAAACTGGTTTTAAATCAATGTTAAGACTGCTGATAGGAATGATGGAAACCACTCTGATACAAATTGCTTCTGCTTGCCACAACACAATCTGTCAAAATGCCATGTCCTGACACACTGACCGTGCTCCCAGCCACCCGCGGCAGAAAGCTGCTACATCCTGGCTGCTCCCAGCGTGAACCACAGCCCTTACTGCAGCCTCTGGAGTCAGG